TATTGGCTTGTAAACGTTTTGTCCCCACAGTGCGCAGTTAAATAGGTGCTTCCTCCGTACCTAGCTGCGTTTATGTAGTTTTTGAGTAGCATCTAACATCCTGTCATGTGATTGGATAGATGCATTATTTTAGGACCGACCGTGGTTTTTTGTTGCGTTGTGATCTGTATGCCTCTTATTCCATTGGTTTGTTGGATGGCTGCTTTGGGTTGCTTCGGGTCTTTTTGTAGTTGATCCGCTCCCGGTTTGTGTTTCGTTGTGGGCTCCCTTCTTTGAATCTGGTTGTGACAGCGGCTTATGTTTTTAGCAGTTTCCTTACTTCAACCTGATTGATTGTTTCTACCAGGATACATGAACACTAACCTGCAACCAAGAGGCACAACCAATTTTCACTCGTCTGCGCACACGAATATCAAGATGGACACAAATTCAACTGGAGCACCGTTCACATATTGGCTCAAGCGAGAACAAAGAAAGAACGTGAACTCATAGAAGCATGGCACTCCGCTGAAAAAGACATCAATAAACACACCAAAATTGATCCAATCTATCGGCCGCTGCAAACTAAAGAATTACGGAACTACAGAACGCAGAGGCGGACAAAGTGAGAAGACACAAACAATCAGCCTGAAGCAAGGAAACTACCAAAAATAGAAGCCGCTGTCACAACCAATCAGATCCAAGGAAGGGAGACCACAACGAAACACAAACCGGGAGCAGACCAACTGCAAACAGACCCGAAGTATTGCAAATCCGTCATCCAACAAACCGATGGAATAAGAGGCATACAGACCACAACGCAGCAAAGAATCACGACCGGTCCTACAATAATGCAACAGAAGGTAGATACCATCTAGCCGATCACATGACGGGGCATCAGATACTCTTCAAAAACTACATAAACTCAGCTAGGCACGGAGGAGGCACCCAATCAACTGCGCACTAACGATGTCTCCTAGACCGGGGACGAAATTTTTCCAGGCCAATTGCCAAGCTCGGCGAACAGATCAACTGCCATCTGATCAACCACCAGTAAACACATCCGAGCTACCTGTATTTTGACAAATTGAACTTATCAGTGAATCATTCCGACAGTAAAATTGAATTTTTTTATAAAGTATAGGAAGCAAAACAAAGGCCTCTGGTCATTTGGACGGGACATTGGGGGGATCCATTCAACGGCATTCTTGGTTAGATTTGGCAAAACATCTGAATGAAACTCAATCAATCTTGGATTTGTTTACATAGAATTTCAGGAACAATATCCCACCAATATTTATTGGACTGGGCAACATGCGATAGAATTTAACTTGTTTTGTTTCACAATACCAACTTTGTGACCACATGCTGTTGGTGTTGTCCTCAAACTGTTTTTTCTTGGTCAAACAAAGCCAGAACATGTGCGAAGACAGAGTAATGGATCTACGCAACGCCGGTAGGTTTGACTACAATTCTATCCGGAATCAAGGGCTTGCACCTTTTCGAATTGTTTACACCGTATGAGGCTTGTGTTCTATACCGCTTTGCCAGAGATTGCTACGGTGTGAAAGACGATAGAAACTAACAGAACACAAATTATGGGTAAGCTGGACCGTTGGCAAGTTGTTTTTCATGTGAATTCACGTGACCTGTATGGCGGCATCGTTCTATTTTATCCAGCGTAGTGTGGAACATCATCAAACGATACACTACTGTGGTTAAAGTTACCACACGGTTCTAGTGAAGCATTCAATAAATCCTGAAAAGAAACCAATCAGCATTTGAATCAGAAGATTGCAGGAGCAGTGTTTCCCACCACGGCTTCACATTCCACATACAGGCTGATGCTCATTCCAACTAATATATTTGCCAAAACTTCCACCGGTTCAACAGTTTTCAGTGCTTCTTGACAATATGAAGGGGTTTAGGAACTTCGATTGAGAGTCTCTCCTTTAATTGAAGTGAATCCATGCCGAACAGCGGTCGAGTAAATCACATCGTGGTCCAATGGCCTAGTGTCAAACCACTAGCCGAAGGCTTGCGGGTTCTAGTCGCCTTGGTGATTCGTGGGATGGACACGGTTGACGATTCTCAAAACGGATGGGACCACCGGTTTTCAGCACAAATTAGGTTCATTTGAGACCTCGTCCTGTAAGTGGAACAAATGCATGCTGAAAAGCCGGAAAGTATTGTAAAACTGTTTCCTTCTTATTGAGAAACATCCACAGTGCGCATTTTACAGAAATTCAGGGTTCAAAACTCTCTGTCGCGGAATCGTCCCAATTATGTGACGGGATGAAGAGACTGGGGTGCTGAATGATGGATATCGATGGGGCAATTGTCTAACGAAAGTGTGAAGGGACAAGCGTTTGAGGAAGCCAAAAGACTACGAACTGCAAGGGGAGTACCCTCATGACAAGTTGCCGCACAAGGACCACGTGACTAACCAACTAATGAGCGGGTTTGTTGTTTGGGCAGGATTGCATTGAGCACTGTTTATTGAATTAGTTTGATCAATGAATTGTGGTGCGAATGAACAGAAGTAATTTAATGAAACCAATTCTCAGCCGATGCACAAAGCACGGAGCGCTGTATATGCCACATATATTCAGTCTTTTTGACCCCTTAGTGAGAGTCAAAACTACTGAAATTACTCGTGATGTGTTTCAAGGCCACCACAATCAGAGTGAAGCTCAAATGTAGGTTGATAGTTTCAACCGTAAAAAGCAGTGTCTGGGTCAGACCCGCGATGTATCACGCATATCAGAGTTGCTTT